CTTAGCAGCGTGAATTCACGTGACTTAGCGTGATGTCATAGCAACATGTCCTATTCTTAAGATGCCCGATGAACAACGATGAACATTCCAACATTGCTTGACATCCTGATCTAAGGCAAGTGAGTCCTCCCACTTAGTTGATGGGTAAAGTGTAAAAGCTCTCTTCTAATTGACCAACAGGTTGACAGCCATGGAATCCATCCATCCATCCATCCATCCATCCATCTTCAGGGTGAATTCACCACTGGTTGAGCCCAACCACCTGCTTCTTACACAGAAAACGCCCTAAAACACCTCACAGCCATTCGTTCAGACCTTCGGCAGAAGCTCATTCTGCATCCATCCATCCATCTGAAAAGCCTCACCCCCCCAAATGGGGCACGTCCAGCTGCCTGGCGTCCACACAGACCTTCCCACCTTCTGCAGGCGCCGCCGGCGGATCAGGTCCTCCAGGGCCTTGTGAGGGGATGGTCCAGATGGACGTTGATGGATGAAGCAATGAAGCTCCAGATATCTGATCTCTCAAGATCCTGAACCTTGACTGGGTCAGAATCAATGATCATCAACGAGCTTGGGGATATCGAGGTTGACTGCGTGATGATCTTGAGCTTGATTGGGTCATAATGATGTCCACGAAACTGATGTTTGTCATTTATGATGGTGATGGTATTCTTGATGATAATGTGATGTGATGGTGATGATGGTGATGGTGATGACTTGTTCGATCTTCCCTCACCTGCCACGTGGTGCCCTCATCATCCGAGGCAAAGAAGCGCCTGGCCCAGCTGAGTGCGCTTTCTCCCACTAGTTCCATCTGGAAACGGGTTACCAAGAGCCAAGTCCTCATGTTGCTTGTTTGTTTGGCACCTGACCATCCTGAACTTCATTCGGACTTCTTGGAAGATTCCCCGGAAAATTGTCCAGCAATCTTGCTTCTCGCTTCCATCGTTTCAACGACTTCTTGCAGCCCTACAGGGCAGGCATGCACACACTGCCACACACCTTGCTCAGGTCCGTACGCATCTCCGTTTCACCGTTGGGGACGTCCATCTTCCGTTCGAAGGTATACATGGTATGAGGATGTACGTGGTAAATGGTTTCGAGGTCTTTTTTGTTTTTAGTGCCTTTGGCCGGTGCAATCGCCTATAGGCCTATAGGTGACTCGGAAACCGTCCATGTAATTGCTCGAGGACAACCTCAAGAACCAATGTATTGACCGATTTGACGATTTTGTTCCAATGCTCTGCATGAATAACTGATATGTCATGATATGTCTCATGTTTAATTCATGAACTACATGATTGCAAAAGGCATAATCCTCCAATATCCTCCATCATCCTCCATACCTTCGATATTTCCTTCGTCCCACGAGTTCTCCACTGAAAAAAAAACGCCCAAACGCCCCTCCCCGACCCGTCCCACGCTGGCACACCACGATCGTCATTTCCGGCAAACGGGCAAGCTGCACAGCCCCGTGACATCGGAGTCCATCCTGAAGACCATCGGAGTCGGTAGGTTTTTGGGTGAACAAGTACGTGAATCTGTGGCTGGATGGAGCGGGATGGAAACACACATGGAAAAAAAGCACGCTTGATAGGTTTCTAGATTCATGGGAAATCACGCCTGTATGACGTCCACCGATTCACCAGCCACAGCAAAACGAGAATTCTCATGGTCAGATGGAGAGAACAAGGAACACTCCCGCTGAAACCAAATGCTTCGCAAGATCGTCGCGCTTGCGCGTGATCCTTGCGATAAAACCCACGCCCCAAAACACCGGTCTCCTCGCTCACCGGTTCACCGAACCGGGACCCCGAAGCAAGGCCCGTGTCGCCAGCCGTTTCTTTTCGGTTCGCTTGGCCTCAACTTCAGCTGCACGCCACCGATGTGGGCGACCACCACCTACCGATGGGTTCCATCACAGGGGAGAGTCTGGTAGAGAAATGTGAAGAAGAAAGTCAGTCCATGTCCTCCTAATCATGAAGTGCAAAGAGTCTGGCCAGTTTCTCATCAATGTATCAGCGTGCATCAGCTGGCTTTGTTGACTGTGTCAGAAACACAGCAACAAAGCAAGGAAACACAGTGACAGAAGCAATCACATAACAACTACCAACTGAAAAGGGATAGCAGGTCGGTGGCAACAGGTTGGTAGAAACAGTTTCCTCTTCCAGGGACAGCCTACCAGCAAGGATGATGTCGAGTTTGTAGGGCTGTCATGATTGTAGGGCTATGATATGGTGTATATCATATATATATATATCATGTACACATACACTTCCTATGTTCATACTGAACAGTCTTTGGAGAACTTCTTTTGCCTGCAAACATGCCGGATAAAGTTCTTCATGTTGCTTGATAGTAAGATCTAGCAATTCACCCATGGCGCTCATCGCGCAATTTTCCTCCAGGAGGGAACCTCCATGCGTGTTGCTCAAGGCCTGGTCGCACTCTGAAAGGATCTGCACCTGAGACTTCGGCTGCTTCGTGGGTTGTGCGACGCGACGAAAGCAAGGCCCAAAGTGTGAACACGTTGTTGGTCTCCAAGAAGGATGCAACATGGACAAATAGTTTGGAGAACCAGTCATCTGCACGGGTCCAAAGTGTAGAATGTGAACATTGAACATGGGCCCTGGCAGTTTGGTATGAATTTCCCTTTCTTCAGGGGTCATCCCAAGTAGCAATCTGACCTGTCAACAATGTGTGTGTATCCTAAACTCACAGCTGAAGCACGGACAAAAGTATTTGGATATAACATGATATAAACTACGATCCGATGTTCTAATAGTGGTGTCACTTGGTAGGTGGTTTTACTTCACACATTTCAGTTGTGTGGTTTTGAGTGGGACTTGCAGGTTCACTCCTTTCTTGGCTAAGCCTCTGCCAACTAACGACCTGCAACGCGCCTCCAAATGCTGCCAGCCATACTGAGCTAACAGGGCCTGATGGCGGAACATTGGATCATCTACTTTGCTATCAGGTGCTATTGGTATCTATTGGTGGGAACATCCTTTTCTAAATGGCACCTGCAAATGATCCATCCCGTCCATCGCAACAACTCCTTATGCAGCTGACAAGCACAACTGTTGTACAAACAACATAAATACAAGACAGCACAAGACACATGCTGGTGTATATCAATAGCTATCTAGTGAATATCTCTCTGTAATGTTTAATAGATTTATATTATAATACAATCCAAATCTTATATAATATACATTAAACAATATTAAACACACGGATAATACCTGGAAGCCTATCAAGGGTCGGTATCAAATGTCAAACGTACGGAAAAGGCTCAAGTCTGGTGAACTGTTGTCCCCCAAAGACAAGGCCTTTCTGAAAGCGCCAGGATCCGGCCTCCAGGGTCTTCTTCACCTGAGCAAAAAACACCGAAAATGGTCGAGGCCCAGGGGGCCCTGGGTGTAGATTGAAGATGTTGAAAATCCTCAAATGGGTCAGTCGTCCAGGAATCTGTCACCCATTTTTCTACTTTTATTTTGTGGCCCAGATCCTCCTGGGCAGTCCTCGGGGTGTATTGGGGGAGTTGAAGGAACTGACTGATTATCCTGAGCACAATGACAGAACTCTCTCTCCATCTATTTATATACACGATATATCGGATACTATCGGTCAGGCATGCTCATGGCCCTGGCGTTCAATATCGTCCAAACAAAAACTTCTTGACAAAGACCCCTGAGGCACCCTACTTGTCGACTTGGATTCAGCCTTGCAACCGCCTAGCCAGAGCTGCAAATCGCAGCTGGGGCGATTTCAAAGGAAACAAGCCGATGTCAAATATACCCGGACCTTCAAAGTCGCAAAGTGACCTTTTGCAATAGGTTTTGGTATATGGGATTGTTGGATTTGTGTTCCTTGTGGAGTAATTAATCGACATTTCCCAATTGCCCTTCCCCATCTAGGTGGCTTTGGCAACTCAACACTGTAAAGAGCTGCTTCTTGCGAGCATTTTCGGATTAGCATGGATTAGCAAGAGCACATCGAAACAACATGGTTTGAGGGCAACAACATCAACTTTCATGGTGGTCAGTGGCGGACATGCTTTAACTTCATTCATGTCACAGCACTTTGTCAACCCCCGATAAATCGTATCGCACATGCACAACCCCTGGCTTTTGCAAGCAAGGAACAGGGCACTCACTTGGCTGAGGTCAAGTGGATCCTTCTACCTGGCTACTGGCTATGTACTATACAATGGCCATGCAGCCCTACTAGTGCAAATCAAATCGAACTAAAGGCTGTACTACTCTGGTCTGGTTGTTTTTTTTTGCATTTCTGCACTTTTGTCAGAGACAAGTCATGCACAGTCCGACCATGAGACCGGGCAAACAGAACGCCATTCCTTCAAACTCTGCTGAAATAGGGACTCTGCTGCTTCGAATTCATTGTCCAGCAATTTTGCCCTGCTCAGCTCATGCAGTTCCACTGCTCTAGCCGCTCCTTGATTTTGGACAGCAGGGCTATTTTCTGGCGTCTCCTGAAACACGGATGTGGCTTCTTGAAAAACATGTCTGGGCCGAAAATAACCTATCGCGTGGAAAGACTGGCCTGATTCGAAAGTCGAGGCAGCACGTTTGATTTGTAGGCTCTCTTCAAACAAGGACTTAGCTTTTTCCAAGTCACCCTGCTGCATTTTCACCCAGCTCAGCAAATGTTTGGTCTCCGCTAGAGAATAGCTTGGACCACCACCAGGGGCAGCACGCTGTATTTTCCAACTCTCCTGAAGCAAAAGCTCCGCTGTAGGCAGGTCTTCCTCCTTCATTTTCACCATACCAAGCTCATGCAAAACCACTGCCATGTAGTAGGTGGGCTTTTCGAGAATGGCTTGAAGTAGAAGAATCGCTGTCAGGTGGCGTTTTTCTTTGCTTCCAGGATTCTGCTGCATCAATTCCTTAACAAGGAATACAAGGTGCTGATTTGAAGACTCCTGGTTTAGGCTGCTTGAGTTCTCTGAGGCAGCGTCTATCAGGGACTTGAGCCTTTTAAGGGCATCGCTCAAATTGTTGCAGTGTTTTTTGCCTGCAGTCCTTGCACACATCCCAGCAGCAATAGGTGCAGTGAAGGCCCGACTCAGATTCTGCGAATTCATTGTTGCAGTTCTCACAAACCCAGTAACCCGGACGTTGTCGAACATCCTTGAGTTCATGCATCCAAGGACAAACCTCCTTTCCAGCCAGCCACAGGTTGCAATAGAACTCCAAGCGCTGCATTGAACTCAGGAAGAAGGACTCAAGCTCTTCAACTGCACGAAATGAGGTCGAATCCATCTCTGTGACATCCCCAAGTTGAGACTCTGCAAGCGAACTTGCTCGCAGGTGTAGGCTCGTTGGGCCCGCTGTGGTCGTCTCAATCTGGAATGGGCCTGGGAGTGTTGATGTTGATGAAGCCTCGCTTTCAGAGAACTGCTCCTCTAGCATCAATTGAGCATGGGCCGCACCGGTCCACATGTCGCGCGCCTGCCGCAGGATCCGCCAAGGCTCCGCGACAGGTTCGCTCGCTTCTTCGGCGAGGTGCTCGAAGAGTTGGCGCACTGACGCTGGAGGATCCTCGTTCACTGGCCAACGAAATGCTTCCGCAGAACCCCCGAAACGCCTCAGATCCCAAGCAGCATTCTGAAGCTCTTGGGTGTACTCCAGCTGCTCCCTGAAATCATGTTCAGCCGCAGCTGCAGTGGCGAATTGCTGAATGGTTCCCAGTTTGTCATAGTATTCGTCGATATCTGTACGATCAAGTGCCATAGCCCTCTATCTATGCGCTTGGGCGCAGGCATATGATGCTGCTCATGAGTTGGCAAAGGAACCTGTGTATGCATGCTGTGATTGTAAGCATGAAAACATATCTTCCATCTTCGCCTTTTGCAGGACTGCGTCCAACCTTCATGTTTTTTCATAGTGTCCCATGTTGCCACTCCCCCCTGGGACAGCTTCAGCTACTTGAGGCAAAGCATCTGCAAGCCACGCACTCACACCAGCCACCTGAGGTGTCCGAGATGTCCAAACGGCACGGCACAACAGGCTGAAATCCGAAACCTGCCAAGGTGAAGGCCCTCCCTCTGTGCCTTCTAGTTGGACCACGACCCCCGGTAGGCCGTGTGTTTTTCTTGCGATTTTGACTTTTTTGATGCTTTTTATATATACATCCCAGCTCCAGGTCTTCGTTGCATTGCGCAACAATAAAACATATCTCAGACTGCATGCATTGCACAACAAAAACTCATATCTCAGATCGCACATAACATGATGCTAGCTCATCGTATCTGAAACATATCTCCGACTGCACATAACATGATGCTAGCTCCTCGCATGTGAATTGAAGTCACCACATGCTTGCTATGTTGCACTCTAAATTGTACCCTTGGGTGGATAATTTTCACATTTTTTGCAATTCGCCAAGTTGATGCTACGTTGGGTATGGATTGGAAGTTCTCTGATGTCTGTAAACTTGCTTACTTGCAACAACAACACGTGGACAGTTGCTGACGGTCAGAGCTGCAAACTGTTGGGGTGGGGGGTGGGGGGGGTGGGGCCAACATAATGACGTCGGTCTACATCGTCGGCCAACATAATGACGTCGGTGGGGCCAACATAATGAACGAGCTGTGCAAAGTCGCTAAGCAGAGCCGGTGAGCGCAAAAAAAAGTAGTTTCGTCATTTCGCAAAACGTGGAATTTGCAGTTGCATCTTTGAAAATGATAGTGGCGCTGCAGCGCCGTGCGCATGTTCAATTAGACGGTCCTCACGAAACGCCACGGCCTACCGGGGATCGTGCACCTTCTAGTTAGTCTAAGAGTCTAAAACAACTTCAGCTGCCGTGAAATTGAGTGACCTCCCGGAGGGTCCTGGAAAAGGAGGCTCAGCTTAGCCAAATCGGAAGGAGGTTTAGCTCAGCTCAGCGAATTTGCAGAGGCGCCTGGGCCTTCTTCGCTTGGTTGGCTTCCTGCCCGGTGTTCCGGGGCTTGCAGGGCCGCCGAGTGGACAACACGCAAAAAGCAATTCCTCCCATCCTCCGTTCATGCTACACCAAGCTGCTTCCAACACGTAATGTCAACCTTGTAGGTTTGCATCGACCTTTGGAGCATCCCATAGGACCCCTTTGAGGGGGGGATGAATATGGATGAATCATATACAATAATCTGATATAATCTGGTGTTCACATTAGCTGAAAGAGGTCCTATGAGGTCCTTGTGAAGGAGGTCCTATGAGGATCTATGAGGTCCTATGAGGTCCTATTACATTATGTTCTGAAAGTTCTTCCTCCCAATGAGGTCCACTAGAAAGGTCGGCAGATCCTACCTACTCCAAACCGCCGTCTTGGAGATGAACTGGCGACACAGGAGGGTCAGTTTGCTCTAGAAAAGAAGATGTATTTTATCTTCGATCCTTAGAGCCTAATGGGAATGAAGTTCTGAAGTGGTTGTTTTCTTTTCATTTGATCATTCGAGTCTTCGACCCTTTCATCTTCGATCCTTTCATCGTCCATATGCGGAGGAGGATCGGATGTGCAGGGCACGCGTCTGGCGGGGCAGCCGTTTTGGTGCTTCGCGTGCATTCTTTTTCCATAGGCGAACACACAATCGTTGCTTGAACTCTGCAAGTTAGTGGTCACAGGCACGTCCAACGAACTTCCCTGCCGCGAGCGCAAGTGCCGCAAACGCCCGACCCATCTTGCGCTGCACCTCTGCGGTCTTGTTCACCTGAGCAAAGCAGGTCTCCTGACATAACGACCTTCCAGGACGGTGACTAAATGTGGAAGAAACTGGGATGAGAGCTATCCAACTGTTCATTTATTGCCTTGACCCAGTATAGATTCTCAGAGTGTTCTTAACTTCCCAGTGATGGCTAGAAGAGGCGGGTAGGGCGCTTTTCTCTGAGCCATTGGACCAAGCCAGGCGTGTCCGGCGTGGCATTTGGCGGCAGCACCAACGGCGGACATTCCTGAGGCATTTTGCGGCATGCTGAGGGGCAAGCTTCAGAGGTCTTGGGCTCCAAAGACTCAAGAAGCCCCTACTTTTGACTGATTCAATCTGATTCATCAAACTCCACCAAAACGCGCCTGGAGATGCAAACCAGCAGAATCGGGGTGAAAGATCCGTGACTGACCCCCGCCCCAGGGCACATCCAGGCACCTTACCTCAACCACCTTGGATGTCCACCTTGGAAAAATGACATGTCTAAGGAGTCTAAGGACCTAGAACCTGACCTCTATGTTGGACCACCAACCACCCAAAAGATGGTCTAGACGCCTTTTACAACAGAGGTCAAACGGCTTCCAGGTATCTACCGATCAGGTGATCAGTTGGGGTGGTTTAATTGGTCAATGACTCGGTCAATGTATGGGTGTATCTTCCATGCATGGAGTGCCAACCATTCATACAACAATGAGTTGTTGGACAAGAACACCTCCAGGAGAAAAACAATATGATCAACAACAAGTGGGTGAAAACAAGAGTTGGGTAAAAAACAACTGGCTTTTACACCTCCTAAGAGTTGTTGGACAAGACCTCCAGGAGATGTCTGTAAATCATGATCTGTGTGATGGTCACCCAATTCTACGACGTTTCCCTTTGCAGCGCTTCAGAGCTTCAGAGCTCCTGCCAACCCTCAGAGCGAAGGTGGATGTGTTCAAATGACGTGTCTCAAGAAACATCATGCCAAGAACAAACACATCCACATGCGATTGGTCTTGACCATCAAAAGAAGTGAGAACTGCCCTTCAACCGCTTCAACCCAGAAACCACAAACCCATGAAACCATGACTGATTATCTGATAATTCTGCCACATGACCGGGCCATTTGACCCGGCAACTGGTCTATCAGTGTCACTCAACAAGCCCTAAAAGCTTCTCATCGCGTGCATGTCGTCCATAACATGTGCTTGGCAAAAGACAAACACACTCGTATAATAGGTGCTCAGAATGAGTCTCGTACTGGATCTCATTGTCACTCAACGGAGCAAGGCACGTGGAATACACTCTGACCCACTAACATGGAAGTGGATGGCATGGCCCCAGTGAAGACCATGTTCCTCTACAAACAGGTGGTTTTCCATTTCCATATGTCAGTGAGTCGGATTCAAAACCACTTCATGAAAACCAACTCCTTAGACTCCCCGTTTCTAACCTTCCGTCAGCCGAACTTAAGATGTGGGAGGTGGAAACAAAAGCCGTATGTCAAAAGGTTATCCCTAGGGCTCCAACCACCTCCTGAGAAGGTGGTTGGGGTGCGCTTTTGGGGTCTAACCACCTTCTGAGGATATGGTTGGAGCCCTAGGGTATATGTAAAATGGTATCAAAAAAGCTCCAGAAACTATGGTTCCAAAGAGATCGCACATAGGTTACTTTTAGTTTAGTTAGCGAAGCTCCTCCTACCCATTTTCCTGAGGATCCTCACCACTTTTTGCACCAGCGTTTCCTGGCGGGATCTTTTTCTGCCGGTCGTTTTGGATGCAAAAGGAACAACAAACCAAAAAAGACAGCATATGATATCATAATATATCATAATTGTTTGTTTTTGTGTTCTTTTCTCTTGGTTCTTGATGTTCTTGACAGCACTTGCACCGAACCCGTGCGACCTCTTGGCCCCTGTTCTGTCCGTGACGCGTCCGATCTGTCCGATCTGTCTAACTCCGAACCCATCGGTCTCGTCGAACTCCGCGGCACCTCATCAGGAAGAGAGGCCTCTTCCGGTGTAGTCACCACCTGCAAACACTGGGGGAGAAAGAACTGCAGACAGTGCTGAGTGTCCACCGGCGAGGGAAGTGAAGTGGAAACACAGAGTCGGAAGGTGGGCCAGCTGGGCAAGCGGCGTGTATGCGATTTTTACATTAAATAGTCATAGATAGTACCATGGACCCTCAAACAGTTCACCACCTCCGACCTTCAAACCATGTCAAAAGCCTCCATGAAGACCTCCGACAGGTTGGAACGTGATTTTGTGTTGTGATTTTGGATGTGAAGCAACGAAGATTTGTACCACACGTTTGAGTCACACATGCCCAATGACAATCAGTCAATCAGTTCCAAAGGATGCCAACCAGGTCTAGAGGAACTCCGCCTGGTCCGTCTTCAGGTCTGGCTCCGAAGAGTGCGCCGAAGAGTTCACCTCGGTCGGTGGGGGGATGGGGGGTGAGTGGAAATCAGCCAAGTCACGGATGTTCTGCGTGGAATTTGCTGGAAGAAAGAATGCAACATAGTCATCCCCCCAACCAGAGGATACACTCAAAGATGGGACAAGATGGGAAACGCAACATCACCCAAACCATGTCTGTGAGTTGGTTCTTCTACCAACTATCGAAATATACCAATTATACACTCCCTGAAATGATCCTGGTTGCGCTCATAATTTTTCACAGAAAAGCATCTGGGTGACTTTGGTTCATGGTTTCCCACATCATGATTAGTTGCTGAGCTTGCGGATCTACCCTTCGAAGCGCAGCACCAGTGGTCTCCAGTTTTTTGATTTACATACACCCTGTGTAAATTTAACATGGAAGCAGCAAGTCATCCCTACAAACAGAAACACGTTCCTCTCCAAGCTGGTGGCTTTCCATCAGGTGTAATGACAGTATTCGCCGGATGGTAGATAGACCAGCCATGCCCCCGGGTTTTGAGGCTTCTCCACTTCACAGGACCTCTGTGTTACTTTTGAACTGTCGTTACCATTTTCTCCTACAGGTTGGGGTCCCTTTTTTTGACAATCAGCATCTAACCTCAATTTGATGAAGTAGTAAGGACGCCCGATCTTTGTGAGTGACCAAATCTGGTGGTGCAAGTGATGGACTGTGGCCACCAAACCAAACCAATGAAGATCTGGGTTCACTAGTCTTTCGGAGGAATCCGAACCAAAAAAAACTCCCTCCTCCTTAGTCCTGCCAAGCGTCGGCTTCTGCACATGGGGTAAAACTTAACGGCGTTGCAATCGTGGAGGGTGTCGTGGTGGAGGGAGTCGTGGCCAGAGGTGTTGAGGCATGGCGAGATGGGCCTGGACCGAGGACCCACGTGGAGAAAATGGCATCCCGGCGCATGGCGTCCTACAACAGTAGACTCATGTATATAGGGTCGGGAATTATGGATTTATTTGTTCCACCTCATTAATTATATATAAACTATATAGTATAAACACATATAAACTACTATGAACTATATATATATGATATATGTATATAAACGGTTGTTGAGGAAAAGACATGCACAAGTTTCTTCCGACAGAACATGGACCCTCATGTTGCAGTCGCA